TTTTTAGGGTTTTACTCCAGCAAATAAAATTTTCCTTTGTCAAAAATCATTCCAGACAAGAAAGAAAAATAAAATTTAAAAATGTTCGACTGAGGTAAAATATCGGTCGAACAAGACTGGAATTAACTTTAAAATACGTGATTTTAAAAAAAAACAGACAATGAGATTCCAGTCTAAGATGGTTGGAAAAATGCAAAAGAGATTTAAAATGTATTGAAAACGAAATAAAGGAAAATACGTCATTTTGAAAACTTACGTCACATGCAAAAGAGGAAAAGAAAATTTTAAACTTTATCCAGAATTCATGGAAAAAGACATGAACGGATACTTTATTTTTTGTGGGTTTTATTAATGGAAAAAAGAAATGCGAAGATGCCCAAAAGGCACTGGAATTCGAGTCGGTCGCTGGAGAACCAAAAAAAAAAAAAAAATTTTTTTAAATATCGATTGTTACATCTTAGCGATACATTATTATCATTATTATTATTTTTTTCCAGTTAATATACAATCCGGAAAGAGACGATGCCGTCATTAAAAATTTGTATTTAAAAACATTAATATCGACATATCAGGCTTCCTATTGCAAAAAAAGTAAATTAATTTTTTTTTTTCAAATTTTTGAAATTTAAATTTAAATTTAAATTTAAATTACAATTTAATTTTTAGTTTTGAAAAAAAGAAACGACACAGATCCAAACGATTTAGATTCCGATCAATTTATGGCACATTTTAATAAAATTTATGGGGGAAAAACTCGAAAACCGCCAAGACCCTTGGATACTTTTAAAAATGGTAAATAAATATTATTATTATTTTTTTCTTTCGTTCCTTTTTCCCTTTGACGCTCTCTTCTCTCCTCATTTTTTTTTTAATTTATTTGTTTTTCCTCATTTTCCATTTTCTTCGTTTTTTACTTAATTACCATCGATTCATTCATTTTATTTTTATAAATAAATTTTTAATTAACGGGGAAAATTTTTTTGTTTTTTTTTTTGCTCTTTATTTTTCTCATTCATTCATTCATTCACTTCCGGTAAATATTTTTTTATGTTAATTAAACAAAGGATATAAAATAAAATTAGAATATAAAAACCGTTCGATAATGTTTACCCAACCGAATTTTCATTCGAATAATAAATATCATCAACTGTTGTTGTCCGTGAGTACATGTGTACCTGCGACAGTGCGTGTGTACTTGGAAAGAGTGCGTTTTTACTTGCGCGAGTGCGAGTGTACTTGCGTGAGTACGCGTGTACGCGTGTAAAATCTTAATAAAAGTTCACTTCGAACGATCCAGATTAAAAATGATCGAAAAAAAAATTTCTTTATCAAATTAAATTCGAAAGTTTTTTTTTTTTTATACAACATAATAAATTTTCTAATTACACGACGACGGCTATTTAAAAACAAATATGAAAATTTTCAACGTGTAATATTTAATAATTAAAGAAAATAATTACGTCTGACGTCATTAAAAAAAATTTATATATACTTGAGCGTAACATTAAAAAGGTTTAAAATTTTTATACATTTATATAGTTAGTTATCTGATAACAATGTTTTCAAAAAAGGTTTTTAAGGAAGGTTTTCGAATAAAAGGAAAAAAAGAAGTCTTTTTTTTTTCGTCATTTAGTTTCGTTTCGTTCATTTCATTTGTTGTTAATAATAATAATAATGATGATTAATTTTTTAGTTTTCGGTTATGCAAGATATGAACGTTTTTACACGGGAAAAACGGAAAAACAAGAAACGATATTCAAAGAAGCATATAATTATTTTAAAAAAGATTACGATAAAGGAAAATCAAGATTATATTATAAAAAACAAATGGAATTGAAAAAATTAAAAGAAGAGTTGGAAAGGGAAACGGAAGAAAATGAAAAAGGAAAAGATGAAAATGTGGAAAAAACGGAAATTGATAATGATAATAATAAAATAACGACGTCGGAAAAGCCAGAAAAAAAAATTTGTTTCTGTGTAAAATATTAAAAAAAAAAAAAAAATTTTTTTCATATCAGGTTTTTTTTTGTGTGGGTTTTGTCCGTATCAAAAAAAAGGAAAAATTCAAAGGAAATTTTTTTTTTTTACTTTTATTTCTTCCTATGCGACAAGTTGACGTTTTTACTTTTTTTTTTTTATCGAATCGGAAAAAAAAGAAAATAGTTTCAAAAAAAAAAAAATAGAAAAAAATGACTGGAGAAATTCCAAAGAAGATTAAAAAAAAAATTAATTTTTTTTTTATTCGACGATTTAACAAAAGTTTTTCACCTTTTTCCAGATGCTCCCACGATTAATATTTAATAATTTGTAAAAAAAAAAAAAAAAAGTGAAAAAATTTTCCACCTGATTTTCCAGTAATTAAAATTTTTTTTTTCTTTTTTTTTACCTCTTAAAAATCCCATAAGAAGAAGAAGAAAAAAAAAGATCACGTGATTAATATCAGTCGTCTTAAACTTTTATTTTTTTTTTAATTTTAAATATTATACTTTCGCGGTTAATCGTGGTTTCAGACTCTGTTTAATTTCATTTTATAACTTTGTATTTAAAGAAATTTTTATGTAGTTGTTTTTCAAAAAAAAGGTCAAAAGGTCAAATTATTAGAAACAAGAAAGAAAAAATTATTTTATTTATTCGTTTATTATTTAATCGTGGCATTTGTGTTAAAATTTATTTTAAAAAAAATAAAAAATGGTCGATGATAAATTATTTAACCTAATTAACGTGTCATTAGACAAATAATTTATTATTTAAAAAATTATTATTACGACGATTCTCTGGAATTCGAAAAGGAAAAATATTAATTTTTTTATAAGTTTTGATTTTTTTTAAATAAAAAAAAAAAAAAAATTTTTGGAATCGTTACAAAATTTTATGGAGAAATTAAAAAAAAAAAGTTTTCGTTCGGAAAAAAAGAACTGGAGAAACTGGAGAAAAAACTGGAGAAACTGGAAAAAATATTTTTATTAGTAATTCGTAAAAAAAAAAATTATTTTTTTGGGAACGTTTTAAATCGCTTATCGACATTTTTTTTTATTGCACTGAAACTTTTTTCTTCTGCCACGTAAAAATTCGTTATTCGTTTTCGACTATATAAATAACCGTAAAAAAATATTTTTAAACTTATTAATTAATAAAATATCTTCTGAATGTTTTTTTTACGTATTAAATAAATAAAATCGAAT